TGTGTTAGAGAGAGGAGCTCGGCTCTTCGAGTCTCTGCCGGCCCCAGTGCCGAAATTGTAACGCCTCTGTATATATGCTGTACATAAACCTTGTTTAACTCACCGTCGTCTCGTCCGCTCGTCTGATCAGCTCTGCGCAGAAGCAGTCGCGAGCTGAGAAACATACGCTACCAAACGGCTGGTGACCTTCCCGGCGGAGTCGGAAGCAGTGACGCCTTCGGCACCGTGTTGGCGTCGCCGTCTTTCGCAACAGTGGTGGCTTCGGCGGGATCGGTCCGCCGTTTCGCAACAGTGGTTGGCAGCTGCGGGATCGGCCGGCGTCAGCGACATCGATGCGGTGAGTGCCTGATGTTTTCCCCTCAGTTCACCAGACTACTCTAGCTCAGGTTGTAGTAGTTTAGAGAAGGGCTGTGTGAAGCATTAAAGTAAGCTTTGATCGTTTCAAGCCAAGTCGAAGCGCTTTGAAACCAAAGTTAATGCAGAGGGGGTAAACACGGCAGTGTTAAAATTGCTTGCGCGTCTTGCTAGTAGGCTTATAGTGGGTACGGCAAGTAGATTCTTAACAGGGGCAAACAGCAAGAGGCTAGTGTGAACGATGGAGAACCTTAAAGTGAAGGAACTCATCGAAATTTGTGAGGAACTCGGCATTACTTTGGGCCGTGCGAAACGAAAGCAAGCGATCCTGGAGATCATGAAGGATGAGGGAGTGTCGGCTGAGGAAGTCGATGAGGCCTGGGTGGATATTAAAGCACGCCGTGAGGAGGCTGAAAGGCGAGAAGTAGAAGCTCGCGAACGTGAGGAGGCTGAAAGGCGAGAAGCTCGTGAAGAGGCTGAAAGGCGCGAAGCTCGCGAACGTGAAGAAAGGCGCGAAGCTCGCGAACGTGAAGAAAGGCGCGAAGCTCGCGAACGTGAAGAAAGGCGAGAAGCTCGCGAACGTGAAGAGGCTGAAAGGCGCGAACGTCGCGAGCGCGAGGAGGCCGAGAGACAGGAGCGCCTCGAGATGAAACGAATAGAATTGGCAATCCTACAGTGTTCGCAGGCGCCTAGCGCAGCTTCTCCCACGATTCAGGTCAGCGGTATTAGAATTCGGGATCAACTGCCACCGTTCGTAGTGGGCGAGGACATGGCGAAGTATCTCGTCAAGTTTGAACACGTCTGTGAGCGAAATGCTTTGGAGCAGTCTCTTTGGGCGCGGAACCTGCTAGCTCTTCTTCCCGGCGAAGTGTCCGACGCGATAACTTGCTTGTCGAGGGAAGCGTTTGAGAGCTATGACGAGGTTAAGGAAGTGCTCTTGAGACGTTATAAGTTGTCACCCGAGGCTTTCAGGCAAAGGTTCCGGTATGCTAAAAAGGGGAATGAGTCACACGTTGACTTCGCGTTTCGTCTTAAAGCCGATTTGATTGAATGGCTCAAGGGCGAAGGTGTTTATGACGACCGCGATAAAGTGGTGGAATGCGTTGCATTGGAGCAATTCTACCGCTTCATCGAGGAGGATGTCAAACTTTGGCTGCAGGACAAACTTGGTGAAGTACAGCTAAACAAGGCAGCAGAGTTAGCTGAGGAGTATTATACTCGCCGAAAGTTGCATAGCAGGGCAGTGCGCGTTGAAAAGGATGAAAGAAAAGAGGGCTTTTCAAAGAAACCTGATCAACGGAAACCCGCTCCGCACCGTAATTTCAAGAAGGACCCGTCTCTTACGAAGGACAGTGTAGGGGAAGGGCAAACAGAAGCGGAGAAATCGAGTGAGGTTTCTACCACACAGGCATTAGAACCGGAAAACAAACGGAAGCCGCTAATCTGCTACAACTGTAAAAAGGAAGGGCACATCGCGAGAAACTGTCAGGAAAAGTTTGCCTTCGCAACGATCCGAGAATCAGAAAAAAACATGCGGTTGTTGGAGCCGTATCTCCAAGAAATTAGGGTCAATGAGAAAACGTGCCGAGCACTTAGAGACTCAGCGGCAACCATGGACGTTGTCCATCCTTCATTGGTGTCTCCGGATGACTTCACAGGAGAATGCGCGTGGATCAGGCAAGTCGCCGAGGAGCAGAGTGTTCGCTTACCAATCGCCACCGTTGTCATTGAAGGCCCGTTCGGTAAGCTTTGCACCGAAGCGGCTGTGTCTGCCGCGCTGAATGGTCGTTTTTCTTATCTTTTCTCCAACAACTCGGAGCAGCTTCTCAAGGAGCAGGGCAAATCGTTCTTCCCCAACTTAGCGTGCATGGCTCCCACGCGATCGCAAGCGCGAAAGCTTTCGCGGAAGCTTGACTTGGTTCCATGCGGTGAACTCTCAAGTGACCTTGTCGGCGGGTCGACGGAACCCCAGAAAGGAAATTTTCCGCATGAGTCATGTGAGCAGTCACGCGAGCGGCCCGTCGCGGGAGCGGCCGGCGCGGTATGCGCTGGGGAGACGACGTGGCGCCATTGAGTCAGAGCGAGAGGGTTGCAACGCTCTCGCCTGTAGCGGAAAGTTGGAGCGAGCTGCCGAGAGTTGATCGAGAGACGCTCATTCGAGGGCAGCGTGAGGATCTCTCGATTGAAGCGCTAGTGGAAAGCCAAATTGAAGCGCGAGTGGAAAGCCAGAAAAACGCGGCAAAAGTGCTGTCGAAGGAGCACTACGAGAAATCGGGGAAGAAGCGCGCTTTTGAAGTTGATAATCAGGTAATGCGGCTGCAGCCACCCAAAAGGAACAAGCTTGAGGTTGATTGGGAAGGGCCCGCCAAAGTATTATCGAAGCCTTGCGATACAAATTATGAGGTGCAAGTAGGAAGGCGGCAGCACAAAATTTACAACTTGATGAAACCCAATGTTCAACATCAAGCGGTCGTAAATCAGCTGTTGAAGGCTTCAGAGGAAGAGGAAGCAGAAAATTTGAGTTCTAGTGAGGTGATCGAAGGGGGATCGAAAGTAATCCGGGAGCAGATAAACCTAGCGCCTAGCTTAAGTGAAGGAGGACCTGAGAAAGAGGACCTGAGAAAGATTGTTTCCGAGTTTGGGTATGTGTTGTCGGACCGTCCCGGAGCCACGACGGTGATCGAACACGATATCGAGCTAAGCGGTGAGGAGTCAATCCGTAGCAAGCCGTATCGTTGTTCCCATGTGCAACGTCGAAAGTGTGAGCCGCTCTTGGTGCCGCATAGGTATCGTCGCCTAAAAGTGGCCGGTTACTGAAGTGGAGCATGTTGCTCCACAGCGCAACTTTGACGTTCGCTAAAGAAAAAAAAAATAAAGGAAAGGTAAACGCTAATGCAGGTGCATTGAGCAGTGCGTTCCAGCTAGTAACTTCTCAACCTTTCGGTTTCTGGCTGGCGATTCGGGGCAAAATTTTGACCTCATCACGACCTGGGCTGAGCGCTCTCGTTCAGAGTGATCTCAAGGGGCCAACTTTGTGGTATTCTAATTCGTTACGTTGTTGTACGTGGGAAAAAATTGAGTTGTCATTTTAAGAGTCTTGTGTCCCACATGTGCCTCTTGATGTAGAGGGAACAAAATTCCGATAGACACGTAGATAGGTATATGTTGTACTATACTTTGTCTGGTGTTCTGTCGGGTGACCGAGGGCACTTGCGTGTGTCGTGTGTTGTCGGTTGTCGATCCGTTCTTGGCAAGTTGCAGAACCATCGACAAGTGCTGAAACCGAAGATGGTCAGAAGAGACGAGTGAAGCTGGTCAGCAAGTTGTGGCGACAAGCCAGTGGAGCTGGGATCCGTCGTCAAAAATGGGATGTGTTCCCGGAACAGTTTGGAGCTGTATTCTCCACATGGCCCTGGAGGCGAACCTGGAGGGACCTGGCGAACGAGCGCACCTGACATCCGAGCCCCGTGGAAGCAGCTCGTCTTTCCGGTGCATTGTCTGGCGGCGGGGGTGCTGTTATGCCAGCGAGTCCTCGTCAAACGACCGTGCCTCTGAAAAAGGCAATCTGGGTCAAGGCCAGCCCGCCGTCTGCCCGACGCGAACATCTCAACGGCGTGAACATGCGCGGCGCCTCTCTCGCCCACGTGCATTGAGTCATCGGCGCACGTGACAGCGAGCCGGCGTTCTCGTGCCGGGTGGTCTGACGCATGGCGCGGCGACCCCCATTGGCGGAATCTGCCCGGACGACCCGCGGCGCTTCTGATTGGACACTTTGGTTGGACCCGGTGTAAATAAAAGAAGCCCTGCGGCGTGTCGCGATCGGCAGTCCTAGAGAGAGGAGTCCCCGTGTCGGAGTGCCGACATGTGTGTGAGTCAGCGGTTTGAGGCGAAAGGCTGACCTATGTGTTAGAGAGAGGAGCTCGGCTCTTCGAGTCTCTGCCGGCCCCAGTGCCGAAATTGTAACGCCTCTGTATATATGCTGTACATAAACCTTGTTTAACTCACCGTCGTCTCGTCCGCTCGTCTGATCAGCTCTGCGCAGAAGCAGTCGCGAGCTGAGAAACATACGCTACCAAACGGCTGGTGACCTTCCCGGCGGAGTCGGAAGCAGTGACGCCTTCGGCACCGTGTTGGCGTCGCCGTCTTTCGCAACAGTGGTGGCTTCGGCGGGATCGGTCCGCCGTTTCGCAACAGTGTATAAATCGACAGCTTCTGGTACCGAGTCGCATCTTTATCACGTCACCCTCGAAAGACGGTATGCTGGCTACACGAGGGCGTTTCGGGGGACCTTTGGAATTTCTCATTAGCTGCGTATTTTTATGTCAGTGGGCAACATAGCTGTTCAACATGAGCCCTTATTTATTTTTATTTTTTATCAAGCCCAGTCAGATGCGCTGTCTTTCACGGTTTCGAATGAAATCAAATGGGTTTTGAGCCCTGCGAGAGATGTAAAGCTTTTGCCAGCTTTTAGAACAGCTGGTTTTATATTTTTTGAAGGCGTATTCTAGCATTATCTTTAGCTCTTGAACTGTGTTGATAGCTTCTATTCAGGAGACATCATCATAATCATCTAGCTTAATGTTGAGACACCAGGTAGAGGAAGCATGCATGCACATAAGAACCGTGAAACGATATCGTTTACGTACCGCTTGGTGGCGGCAGAGGCCCGTCTCGTTCTCGCAGGCTTGTCTTGAATATAGCTCCAAAGTGTTCTGCATTCCGCGAGTGCCCTGCACCAACAGCAGCGAGAATGTGACACAATTTATAAGCGTTCTTCTGAATCGCCGGGTAGCTGCTATGTGCGGAATGTTATTAGCGCTCAGAGCGGCTACAAATAGACTGCGGCGGAGAGATTGAGGCTCACGACACTTCGGTTGCAATGTGTATCTATGTTCCGCAATGTGCCCACTCACTAACTGCACACACAAGCTAGCAGGTACATACTGACATACACACCAAAACGCACAGGCGCTCACATTTTCGAGCGGATCATTTCAACTCCTAATTAAGAGGTTAGCCTACGATTGTAAAAAAGAGTGTCATTTTCGAAACGTTTCGGCGGGCCCGGGCTGAAGTCAGCGTACACATGCACATTTGAGCCTGGCCATGATTGCATGGTAATTCCGATTTAAAGACTTGTTGGGTGCTGTTAAAAGATACAATGGACGCATAATCGTACCCATTGCAAGTGTAATACTACAAAATGGTTAAGGTTAGTAAAAACGTAACAAATATTTTTATTTATGCTGTCTAGGTAATCTCATGACGGCTTAGTTTTCAAATTCCCGACATATCATGGCAAGTACTTCTTGTGCATGTTGACTCGAATATCCGATGTTTCGGCTACAGGGTGGGCATTTTTCACTTTTTTTTTAATCTCGTGCGCACTTCATCTTCCTTGGCTTGTTAACGGGTACAATCGTAGAGAATGTTCAAGATGGTACAATTGATGGTATGTGAACAGTTATGTTTGTCACATCTGCAGCGTCATGGTCTTCGCTGGCTTACTTAAAGGTCGAGACGCGTTAGGCCTCAATAAAGCTACAGAAAGAAGGCTTCTTTCTGCGCGTGCTTCATTGACGAGGTTATTGCAAAATATAACGCAACGTCATGGCGATCACTGCCCTTTGGTCTATACCGCAAGCAAGATACACTGCTTTGTCATCTGTGTACAGATGTAGGGCAAACCAATGCCTAGTCATTCCAGTTCTAGATAGGTGACAGCACCTATAGCAACCACTGTGCTGTCAAAGAAACTATTCAAAACTTTTTGTGTTACTACTCAACGTGAAAAAGAGGCTTTGTACTGCTTTAAATCACCGCAACGGAAGTGATTTCCGTATCGAAAAAAATATTGCGACCGTGGGGCCGCTCATCCCAGTTCCGAAAAACAACGATATCACTGCTGCGATTGCTTAAAATACTCGGCTGATTCACCATTTGTGATATAAAACGCCGTACTTGTTACGTCGGCTGCAACAGTGACGTAATTCTCGTCCTCTCCAACTTCCCCTCTTTTTCTCGCACAGTGTAGGGTAGATTGATATGTGGGATTTAACGCCCCAAAACCACCATATGATTATGAGAGACGCCGTAGTGGAGGGCTCCGGAAATTTCGACCACCTGGGGTTCTTTAACGTGCACCCAAATCTGAGCACACGGGCCTACAACATTTCCGCCTCCATCGGAAATGCAGCCGCTGCAGCCGGGATTCGATCCCGCGACCTGCGGGTCAGCAGCCGAGTACCTTAACCACTAGACCACCGCGGCGGGGCCAGTGCAGGGTAGAGTACAGGGCTTAGCTTAGGTTAACGTCTCTGCCTTTATTTTTATTCTTCCTCTGCTCCTTCATTTGTTAAAGTCAATGTTTCGTCTAACACAAGGTGCACTCACTTAGTTCAATCATACTACTATAAACTAGCTTGTTCGAGTTTTTGCCCCGCTCCAGTTTTTCGGCCCGTTTTCTTATATATAAAGTCACTTTTCGAGCTGCTCCGGTTTTTCGAACCCTCTTTCTTATATAGCTGTCCAACACAGCAACATTAGCGCCGTTCTAATGAAACGTTATATGTACCATAAGAAGGAGATGGGTTACACATTATAATGGATATACAAAGTGGTGATCGATTCCGGTAGACTAGTTGGCAAACTAACAGGCGAGAAAAAAAAGAAATCCTATTTGCCCGGCCACGCTATTGTGGAACGCTTCCGCGCACATCGATTTGACAAGAACGCTCAATATATCAGAAAAGTCCCAGCAAAGCAAACACATGCACGCTATGCGCCTCTACATAACCTAATGCATGGCTTGCCGATGGTGGCATAGCTCAGTGATGTCATTCCCAACTTTGTCTGTATGCGTACTTTTCGACGAGCCACTGCAAGCGCAAAATCCGCTTTTCCAGAATGAACTAAGCTGTATTAGGGCTAATTCGACGTGTTTCGCTAAAGCGGAAGGTCGGGCTCATACTTTTCGGTTGTTAGGATACCTTGGTTGCTCTTTACTTTCGCCCTTCAACTGTATATAGCGCCTGCGGCGCAGAACGTTCCGACGCTGCGGCTAATAGGGCCGAATCATCAATGAAGAATAGACCCGAAGCACGGTATATAGTTCAAATAGCGTACCTGCCACAGGCATAGGTCATAAGGCTCCTGACGACAAGAAGTATACACGCTCTGAAATGTGACGAATCAATACCGAAAGAGCGCAAACGTGTAATTGCAGCCATGCAAGTGTAACTGTATCAATCATTTCTATTGCGGTAAGGACGCCATCTATATACTGTTTCTCTGCCGTTTGTTATTGATAACATCATCTGCACCAGGAAACGGCGCATTTTGTTATGATATCGTTTTTAAGCGTTTCTGTTTGTTTGTTTGTTTGTTTGTTTGTTTTTGTTTGTTTGTTTATTTGTTTGTTTGTTTGTTTGTTTGTTTGTTTGTTTGTTTGTTTGTTTGTTTGTTTGTTTGTGGATACAACACAGTGTCTTTTTAAAAGGAAGAATTAGGCTAAACAAAATAATATATAATTGTGTGTATAGAACCGCCATCCACCGGACATTCCAAGGACTAAACGAGAGGTGGCGCGCGCACACTTTCTTACGGCTAGCGCTTCGGGTCTACTTCCCAGCTTTAACCACCTCGAGTTCATGGTATATACTAGTTCACTTTATTCATGGCCCTGCGGCCCAACGCTCGCTAAACCTTTCTAAAACCAAGGAGGTTACGCCCAGCGAGTATAACGCAGCAACCTTTTCCTGTCAGATAGTGCTCAATGTACATGCCAATGGCTGCTAATGGGAAATGAGAGACAGGAGAATTAGGCTTTTACTTTCTTTCAGCTTGCGCTTCGTATCTACTTCCCACCTTTAACCACCTCGAGTTCATGGTATATACTAGTTCATTGTATTCATGGCACTGCGGCCTAACGCTCGCTAAACCTTTCTAAAACCCAGCAGGTTACGCCCAGCAAGTATAACGTAGCAACCCTTTCTTTTCAGATAGTGCTCAATGTACATGCCAATGGCTGCTAAGGGGGAATGAGAGACAGGATCATTCGGCTTTTAGTTAACGCACACGCCGCGAACTTTTTATTGTTCAACAAAGCACAGGAGAAATCTCCCACCGGCACCACCTTGCAGGTCAAAATGTAACGCTGGTTACACACTACGACTACGACTACGAGGAACGAACGAGTGCCGCTTTAAGGAGCTTCGCCCCTAAAAATATTGGGACCGTGGGGCCGCTCATCGCCGTTCCAAAAAAAAAAATGAAAGCACTGCTGCGTTTGCTTTAAATAGTCGACTGATTCATCATCTGTTATATAAAATGTGGTACTGTTACGTCGGCTGCAACAGTGACGTATCTCTTGTCCTCTCCAACTCCTCCCCCCCCCCTCTCACTCGCACAGTCCAGGGTAGCGTAAAGGGCTCAGCCTAGGTGAACATTTGTGCCATCATTTTTATTCTTACTCTCTCCTTCACTTATTAACGTCAATGTTTTTTTTCTATTACAAGGCGCACTCGCTTAGTTCGATCATACTACTATAAACTCGCTTGTTCGAGTTATTGCCTTGCTCCGGTTTTTCGAGCCTTTTTCTTATATAGCTGTCTAACACAGCAACATTAGCACCGTTCTAATGAAACGCGATATGTACCATAAGAAGGAGATATGGTACACATTATAATGGATATAGAAGGTGGTGATCGATTCCGGTAGACTAGTTTGCAAACTAACAGGAGAGAAAAAAAAAGAAATCCCATTTGCCCGGCCACGCTATTGTGGAACGCTTCCGCGCGCATCGATTTGACAAGAACGCTCAATATTGCAGAAAAGTCCCAGCAAAGCAAACACATGCACGCTGTGCACCTCTACATAACCTAATCCATGGCTTGCCGATGGAGGCATAGCTCAGTGATGTCATTCCTAACTTTGTCTGTATGCGTACTTTTCGACGAGCCACTGGAAGCGCAAAATCCGCTTTTTCAGAATGAACTAAGCTGTGTTAGGGCTAATTCGACGTGTTTCGCTAAAGCGGGAGGTCGGGCTCATACTTTTCGGTTGTTAGGATACCTTGGTTGCTCTTTACTTTCGCCCTTCAACTGTGTATAGCGCCTGCGGGGCAGCACGTTCCGACGCTGCGGCTAATAGGGCCGATTCATCAATGAAGAATAGAACCGAAGTGCGGTATATAGTTCAAATAGCGTGCATGCCACATGCATAGGTCATGAGGCTCCTGACGACAAGAAGTATACGCTGTCTGGAATGTGACGAATCAATACCGAAAGAGCGCAAACGTGTAATTGCAGCTGGGCAAGTGTGACTACATCAATCATTTCTATTGCGGTAAGGACGCCCTCTATACTGTTTCTCTGCCGTTTGTTATTGATAACATCATCTGCACCAGGAAACGGCGCATTTTGTTATGATAGCGTTTATAGGCGTTTCTGTTTGTTTGTTTGTTTGTTTGTTTGTTTGTTTGTTTGTTTGTTTGTTTGTTTGTTTGTTTGTTTGTTTGTTTGTAGGCACAATATGGTGTCTTTTTAAAAGAAAGGATTAGGCTAAGCAAAATAATATATAATTGTGTGTATAGAACTGCAGCATTCGTTTGACTTGTGTTGAAAATAATGTTTCATATGTCTCACTAGGCTAATTCAGTGGCAAATTATATATAACTAAAAATCAGCCTGTGTACATTTGCGGCTCACTGGATCTTTCTTTTAAACGCAAG